TTCGAGGTGGGCGCCCCTGGAGCTCCCCAGGCCCACAGACTCCCAGTGGCAGCGGCGCCCACGGCCCGGGTCCACCCCTGAGCGTGGGATGTCAGGGTCCCTCCCACACACTCCGACCTGCTGACCTGCCTTCCAGGTTCAGGGGGGAGTGGTCACTGGGAGAGCACAGTCTGTCCGCCCCTCAGCATCCCCTGCCCGAGTCCTGCCTGGGCCCACAGTGCCATCTGCTGGCGGCGGGGGGAGGCGCGGGCGAGTGGGCCTGGAGGCCCCAGCTGGGCTTGTACCTGGGGAGGGCTTGGCACCACCGAGGTGGGGGGGGCGGGGGCAGGCAGAGGCAGGTGTGAGGTGCCCCCCCAGGCCTCATCCTCACCCTGGACCGGAGTTAGGGGCCTCAGTTGGAACCTGGCTCCACCATTGACTGCTGTGCGGCCTCCAGCCAGTGCCTGGCCCTCTCTGAGCGTCATCCCAACGCCAGGGTAGGGGGTGAGTGTGCCCAGCTCCCAGGCTGCTGCGAGGAGTGCCCGCCGGGCCGGGAGCCCGAAGCCAGCAGAGGTGTGGCCCCCGTGCTGACGGTGCCCCCACCGCCTGAGAGGCTCCTGGGAGACCGGCACCGCGGGCCCCAGAGGGACACTCCCACCCCAACGTCTCACATGGCAGGAGGTAGGGCAAAGGGCACGAGGTCAGAGGCCACGGCGTGTCCCTCCTCCAGGGGCTGAGTCTGCAGCGGCGTGGACCGCCGCCCAGTGTGATGGAGCCACACAGAACCCTAGCTCTGCATGGACCATGTAGTCGCTACCGACTGCTGTGTAACAAACGACCCCGACCTCAGTGCTTACACGGCACGCGCCTCCTCTCCCACGATTCCTGGGCCAGGAGTCCAGCAGAGCCTGCCTGGCCTTCTGTCTCCCGGCCTCTCCCAAGGCTGCAGTCACGGGGCTGCTCCGTGGGCCTCACAGGGGCAGCCGGGAGCCAGAGGCTGGGTAAGGGGGGCCGGGTCCAAGGCCACACGGGGACACAGGTGCAGGCACCCACACGCAGCTGTGTGCGAGCCCCCGGCCGGTGCCACAGCTCTGTCCCTGCAAAGGTGCCCTGGACGCTGGAACCATTGTGACCTCAGGGGTGAGGTCAGAGCTGGCAGAACCGGGGAGGGGGTGCCCAGAGATAGGGCTGCCCCTCTGGCATGAGGACAGGGCCTGTGGGTCCTCCACGCCGCACCCCAAGATGGACGGGCAGCATTCGGAAACGCAACACAGCCACACCATGGCTGACAGGACGTCGTCAGCCCTGTCCCCAAGCCCTAGGTCAGCTAGTGCCGGGCCCAGGCCTGGGGGTCCCGGGAGGGGACCCGATGCTCCCTTCCCACAGCTGCCCTGGCCTCTCCCTCTTTGGGGAAGAGCCTCAGGCCTGAGCTGAGGAGGGAGTGGTCCTGCAGCCGGGGCAGCGGGAGAGGGATGCAGCGGGCGGAGAGGCGGCTGGGAGGGAGGAAGCCTGAATTCAGCCACGTGGCTCCTGACTGCTCGTGAGGACCAAAGGCGTGGCCAGCCACGTGTCAGTCCAGCCCGCACGCCTGCCGCTCTGGGAGGGGACAGAGGGCAGGCTGCCCGGCTGCTCCCCTGAGCTCAGCTTCTTTATGTACATACACAGATTTCTGTTGGTTCCAGAGAGGAAGGGGAGGGAGGGAGGGAGAGAAAAACATCAATGATGAGAGAATCATCGATCGGCTGCCTCCTGCACGCCCCACACGGGGGTCGAGCCTGCAACCCGGGCCTGTGCCCTGACGGGAATGGAACCGTGAGCTCCTGGTTCACAGGTCGACGCTCAGCCCCTGAGCCACGCCGGCCGAGCATGCTTCAGCTTCTTCAGGGAACATTCCTCTATGGCCCTGGGGCCCCTCTGTCCTGCACAGGCCCTAGGGGGACCCCCACATTCCTCCCCTGCCCCCTGGGCCCCAGGATGGAGGGTGCCCTCCCTGGGACACGGGGAGGCCCAGCTCCCCAGCCCACCCCGGGCGGTTCCGGAGCCTGTCTGGCCTGCGAGCCCCTCCCTGTGCGCCTTGCGCTTCAGTGGTCCTGACCCGCCGCCCTTGTCTCAGGGCGGGTGTCAGCCCGTCGCCTCCTCTGTGTCTGGGTGCCTCTCGGGCGAGCACCCCGAGTCCGCAGCTGTGCTCTGTGCCCCATTGTGTCTGTCGCATTTATCGGTCGTTCGGTTCTTGTTCTCGCTGAGCGGTATTTCTACGGACAGAACACAGTTTACGCGCTCGCCAGTTAAGGACATCGGGTGTTTCGTGTGGGGCGATTACAAATAAAGCCGCTGTCAACATTTTCGGACAGATTTCGGGGTGAACCTACGTTGTCGTTGCCCTCGGGTCGGCGCCTGGCGCGGAAGGCTGAGCCGCGGTCAGTGTTTGTTTAAGCGCCCTCCACCCTGGCTACGCGTTTTGCATCCCCACCAGCCACGCAGGCGTCCGGTGACCCGGCCACCTCACCAGCACGCGGCCTGTTCCGCTCCGAGGGCTCTATCCGTTCCTGCTGGCGGCACCGATACCCGCGGCGGCTTTACTGCGTTGCTCTCGTGGGAAAAGAGGCCGAGCTCTCTGTGTGGGTGTTTGCCGACTGCCGGTCTCCGTGGGTGGGATGTCTGTCCACTCTTCGGTCCGTATGTTGGCAGGTTGTTGGTGATCTTGTTTTGGGTTGTGATCTTCGTGTATCGGGTCCAGGCCTTTATCAGACATGTGATTGGCCAGTATTTCCTCCAGGTCCACCGCTGATCTTCTCGTTTTGTTGACAGGTGTCCTTCCCAAAGCAGAGATTCTTCATTCTGATGAAACCCAATTGTATGGTTTTGCTTCTTCTTTTATGGATAGTCCTTTTGGTGTCCATGTAAATGTTTGTCTAAAGTTTAGACTCTAAACCAAGATCATGAAGATTTCTCCCTATATTTTCTTCTAGACGTTTTAGAATGTCAGGTGTGACTTGTAGGTCTCTGATCTATTTTTATTTAATTTTTGTACATAGTTTGAGGCAGGAGTCAGGGGTTTTTTTTCCATGTTTGTATCCAATAATGGCAACACCATGTGCTGGTCCTTTCTTAATTGAATGGCTTTGCACCTTCATCACAAATCAATCGGCCTTGTATGTATGCGTCTTTTTGTGGACTCTCTGTCTTGCTCTATTTATTTATATTTCTATGCTTTCATCACACCCTATCCTCTCTTCTGCTACAGCTTTGTAATAAATCTTGAAATTAGTCGTGTTGTTCCTCCCATATTGTTTGGGCCATCTCAGTTCCTTCACTTTTCCAAATAAACTTTAGAAACGAATCGTCGGTTACTACAAAAAAAAAATCCTCCTAGGGTTTTCATTGGAATTGTATTAAATATTTAGATAAATTTGGAGAAAATTGATATCTTAACAATATCAAGTCTTCCAATCCATGAACATGGTATGTCTCTTCTTAGGAAAGTCTTCTTCATGTCTTGCATCATTATTTGGTACTTTACAGTATGCAATAATTGATTATTGCATTTATTGATTAGTCGTATACCTAAATATTCTCATAATCTTTAGTGCTATTGTCTATGGTACCTTTTGTATTTCAATTCCCATTTCTTTATTGCTAGCTTATAGAACTGTGACTGGTTTTTGCATACTGCCTTTATATTTGCAAATGTGATCAATTCACTTTTTAATTTTAGTAGCTTTTTTGCATGGGGAACCGCAGGAGGATTTGGGGTGACATGCTCTGACCTGTTTCTCATGTGGTGCAACGAGCGGGTAGATAAAATATTGCGAAACAAACTCTTTCTAATGTGCCGCTGCCCCACCTGCTCCTGGTGCCCTCTGACCTCCCCCAGGACCCCCCTGGGATGTGGGGTGGCCAGGACAGTCTCCCATGGTTCTGGAAAGTCCCCAAGTTCGTGTGAGAGCTGGAGCCAGGGATGCCATACCCCCAACCCCCCATCCTACCAACTCTGTCCCCCCAACACCAGCTGAGAAGTCAGGCCCTCTGGCAATGCTGCCAACTCAAGTGTCCCTGAGGCCCTAGCTGGTTTGGCTCAGGGGATAGAGTGTCAGCCTGGGTTTCATTCCTGGTCAGGGCTCATGCCGGGTTGTAGGCTCGGTCCCCAGTGTGGGGCGTGCAGAAGGCAGCTGATCAATGATTCTCTCTCATCATTGATGTTCCTACCTCTCTCTCCCTCTCCCTTCCTCTCTGATATCCCATATAATAAAAGGCTAATATGTAAATCGACCAAACAGTGGAACGACCGGTCACTATGACATGCACTGACCACCAGGCGCTCAACACAGGAGCTTCCCCCTGGTGGTCATTGCGCCGGAGCGCCACTCAGCCAGAAGCCGAGTTCACAGTGGCAAGCGCAGCAGCGGTGGCAGGAGCCTCTCCCACCTCTGCGGCAGCGCTAAGGATGTCCAACTGAGGATGTCCGGATGGCTTAGGCCAGGAGTCCTCAAACTTTTTAAATAGGGGGCCAGTTCACTGTCCCTCAGACCGTTGGAGGGCAGGACTATAGTTTAAAAAAAAACTATGAACAAATTCCTATGCACACTGCATGTATCTTATTTTGAAGTAAAAAAACAAATGTTTTCGGCGGGCCGCATGTGGCCCCCGGGCCGTAGCTTGAGGACCCCTGGCTTAGGCTCTGCAGGGAACAGGCCTAAGCCAGCAGTCAGACATCCCCCAAGGGTTCCCGGACTGCAAGAGGGCACAGGCCAGGCTGAGGGACGCCCTCCTCCAGTGCATGATTTTCGTGCACCAGGCCTCTAGTGTCTGTGTATATACCTTTTTTAAAAGAGTGTCCCTGAGGCTACAAGGCTTGCACCCTCCTCCCAGGGCTTGGTCAGTCCACTGAACAGAAGGGTGGACACCTGGAAGGATGTGATCCAGCCTGACCCAGACCAAGGCACCCTCAGTGTCCCCCGCGCTCACACCCATGAACACACACAAGGCGCCCAGGTGCATACGCCCAGGAGCCCTTTTCCGTTTCAGAATCTCCTCCTGCATCTCGGAATCCATGAAGGACCTGTCCTACCGAAGGGGCCCTCAGACCTCTGCCCACCAGGACAGACCAGCGCACCCCCCCACCATCTTCCTGTGCAAGTCCAACATCAGCCAGGCGGCCCTGGGGCCCCAGGCGCACAAGCTGTTCTTGGAGAAAGCCTACAACGCAGGTGACCCCCGGCCCTGGGGCTCGGTTCGGGCACTTTCCATTATGGCCCTCCACCCCAAGAGGTCCCGGGGATGAGGCCAGGGGAGTCCTCCCTCCAGGACACGGGGATGCCAGGGGTGTGGACACTGCAGCTTTCAACAGAGAGCCCCGCATGCCCTCCTTGGCCTCTTCCTGCCTCCTGAGCCCCCAGATGCCCCCCTCATGCCTCACCTCCTCTCCCCCGACACCTTTCACACCTTAGAGCCTCCGCTTAGGCCTGGCCTGCTCCCTGAAATGCTTTCCCCTCATTCAAGGGATAACGTGCCCTAATCCTTCTAAACAAGGTGAAATTGCCACCTCCTTTGGGAAGCCAGTCTTGATTGCCCCTCCATCTTTGTCAGGGTGTATTGCCCCTGCCCTCTGTGTGCCCAGGGCCTTTTGTACAACCACCCCACCGAACCAACGTCCACTGATGTTGGGCATGGCTCCCAGGGCTGGGCCCTGACTCCTCTGTGAGCCCCACACACAGCCCTACAACCACCCAGAGCGAACATCGTTGAATGTGAAATGACTGGGTGGAGGGTGAAGGGATGGAGGGATGGATGATGAGCTTATGGATGGATGGGTGGATGGATGATGGATGGATGGGTCAACGGGTGGGTGGATGATGGATGGATGGGTCAACGGGTGGGTGGATGGATATATTTATCAATGGCTGGATTGGTGGGTGAGTATAAAGATGGACAGACAAGTGGATGGATAGATGTATTGATAAACAAACATAAGTATGAATGTATAGATGGATCAGCGGATAGGTGGGCGACAGATGAGTACGTAAATGGATGGACAGAAGCATGGTTGAATCGGTGACTAGGAGGGAATACGCGTGCATTCCTGCCCCTTCTGTCCTGAGCCCCAGAAGGACTGGCTGGACAGTCAGGAGGCCCAGGACGTGGTCAGTGCTCCAGTCCTCACTCCCCGATCGCTCATTCCCCGCCCGCCCCGCCCGCCGGCCCCTGGGCCTCCCACAGCCCCTCCTCCCTCACACCTGGTGCCTGTGCCGTAGCCATCTGCTTCAAGATGCTCCGAGACCTGAACGGCTCCGACCCCGTCCGCCTGAAGTACATCGTCAAGAAGGTCCAGAGCATGGCGTACAAAGCCCCCAGCCTGGTGCTGGAAACCATCCACGACTACTTTGCCGACAACCCTGAGGTGGGACTTGCTCAGGCCACTCCCGAAAGGCAGGGGAGCAGAGGGGAGGGCTGGAGCCCAAGGCGGGCTCAACTCTTGGCTTCTCCGTACAGCGGCCACATGGTTTGGGGCAAGTCAGTCTCCTTGTGTCCAATGGGCTGAGGGAGGGGGGGGAGAGAAAAGTGGGCCAACAGGCGTTGACTGACCTGAGAACAATCTCATGATACAAATCTTATGATCCCCATAAATGAGGACACTGGGGCTTAGGGAAGGGAACTGATTTGCCTAAAGTCACAGAGCCATCAAGTGGCAGAGATGGGTGCGTGGATGATG